CCAACCAAAAACTACTGCGTAGAATTAATTGGAATTTTTCACACACAAGCCTTGCTATATGAGCTCTCAAAGCATATAAAAATTATACGGCTTAAATGTGAAGTTGGGTGCAAAAGAATACAATTAAATCCTCTGTCGGGAAAAAACAAAGTGACTTTCCGAACAACCCAATAAATTATGTTATCTAGATAAGGAAGGGTAGTATCAAGGTCAGATAGGATAAAATAGTTTTTTATTGTTAAATCAACCATCGACGTTTCGTCCAGTATGCAAGGCTTTTTCATGGTGGGTTTTGCCTTGTGATATATATCGATATCTCCCTTGAAACAGCTTTATATCTAAAGCGAAACTTTGATGGTAGATTTTACAAAAAAAAAACACTTTTTACCCTATATGGCTTTGATTCTTTCTGCATTAGAAAAAATAGGGACAAGACTGAAACTAGATTACGTTACATATATACTATAAACTTTAGTAATCTTTTTTTGCAAATTGCTTCTAGATCGAAACAATATTGTACGGAAAATAAAGTTAACTTTAATTGGAAATTTGGAGTAATATTTTCTATGCAATCAAATATAATGCACCATACGTAATATAGATTGTGATCCTTGTTACCAATTTGTGGTAATTCATAAATTATTTATATGATACAACAGAAATGATCGACACGGAATCAACATTCAAAAAGCTTTTGCCTACTTGCGTGATACCATCAAATTGCAAATTACACTTTCGCATGTTTTAAAACTTTTTAATCAAACCCATTTTTTTCTAATATGGCTGTACTAGCTTTGACTAAATTATTTAATGACTTTACAGTCATATTAGTAGATGAATATCTTTGATGACATGAAATATGAGATTAAACTTGCGCGTGCTTTTTTTATGAATGCCAATGCCACTTTTAATTATGCTTCACTTTTAATTATGTGTAAGAGGCAACAACTAGGTAAAACTTAAAAGACTGTTCTGTTCTTGCAAATGTAGGTGTAGATTTCACCAGGACTTGGAGTCCTACATTGGAATTAAAATATTTGTAGCAAACTTTTTATTATTTTTTTTAAATATCTCCTTAAGGTATATATAAACTTAATTGTATTTTGAAGTAAAATTTCCGAAACGTTTATTTTTTAATATTTAAATTTTATGTTAAAGTTAGAAAAAAAGGTTACGGATTTTAGTGAATCGTGAATATCACTCGTATTCACTTAACTTTAGAATTTATCTTGTTCAGTATTTGCATTTATCAGATAGATAACCTGCTGCAATCAGTTAAGGTCAACCTAATCGAAAATTGTTTCTTGATGATAAGAGCAAGTATCATTAAAATAAGCAGCGACACAAAATATTTTTTCGCATTAATTTTTGCCTTATCTTGTAATCGTATTCATATTCAAATAATGCAGTAAAATGTGAGATAACCTGCTGCAGTCAGTTAAGGTCAATATAATTAAAAATTATTTTTTGATGATAAAAGCAAAAATTACGAAAATGTTATAAAATATTTTTACAAATTAATTGTCTTTATGTATTCAAGTAATGTTGAAAAATTGCTTTGGTCAAAGTGCCCCGAAAATATCGTCTCTTTTTCATGAGACCATTTTTTTTAATTTAAGAAACACTGAAATAATACTGAAAATTATACACTTATCACTAATTAAATTACATAATATGTAATCAAAATTAAAAACTAATATCTGCATCTATGATTGTATAATTATTATTGTTTAATGTATAGTGCACTAATATTTTATTAAATAATAATTTATTTTATAAGTCCTTACATTTCGTCTTAGTTTAGTTTATGTCCCGTAAGGTCTTTTAATTCTTTATATCTAAAAAATATTGTTCATATAAACATTTATTTTTTGTTTTAAATTTTCCTATCGAATAGGAAAAATTAGAGTAAATAAGGGTCCAAAATTCAAATAAATACCAGACACAATGCACAATATTTTGATTAGCTAACAATTATTTTTTATTTGTCTGTTGACAGTCTGATGTCTACCCATTTGAGCAGATTATTCTGCAACATTTTTATAAATAAAATTGATTCATAGAATTATAAAATGAAAACAAAGAAGCCAAAGAAAATGAGAAGTAATTAAGAAATAATTGAAATGGATGGAGTACAAATTGGTTAGGTTCAATTCTTTGTTCAATTCTTTTTTCATTCGATTTTTCATCTCTATCCTTGTACCCCCACATAAAAAACCTTTAGTGGTGCATAATGTCATCAACACCTTTTCACTTATTTTCTTACGCGTCCGCAAGTTCCACATTGTAAACAATTACTAGCGTTTTTTCATTTAAACTTCACTATCACTCATCATCATTTAGGGGTGGAATTGCAAAAAGCCCTCTTTAGCGCATTCTATTCGGCTGTACGTTGTTTTTCAGCCCTTTACTTCAACGCCCGCTTTCTCTGTTTTCAATATCGAATTTCAAAACGTCCCTCTTTATTATACCCTTAGTATGTAT